TAAAACACATCTGTGGGGGGCGGTAGAGGTGGATTCATACTTTTCCCTCAAGGTATTTGCACGTAGGTGAATATAACGAAAGAGACTGAAATTAGAACTCGGTTCTCAAATTTCCAATTCCGATCCGTTATCCAGTACACCACCCTCGCATCCAAGGTTACAGAACCCAGTATCCCCAAGCGGTCACCCATCTTAAGTACTGGGGAAACCCGACATTGCTTAACCTCTGTGATTGGGCCAGAACCAGTGTCTAAATAACTAGACCATGGGGGAGGCAGCTCTGTAATTGATGAAATTTATCATAGAGTATTTGATAGACGAAAACATGATAATGTTGAAAACTTATCGTATTCCTATTCGATTCATAGCTCTTTATACTTCTTTTCAATGTTTGCTCACGTCATTCCTTTTTCTAAACACTTCCAAGCTGAACATATTCCATGTAACTTGATTAGACATTGTAAAGATGCCAATAAATTCTCCATAAAAACAATGTTTATATTAGGATATTAGCGCTTTCTGGTTTGATGCCAAGGAAAATAAACGCTAGGTTCCTTCGGCGGCATTGACAAGGGGAAGATGCGGTAGACGAGATGATATTATCAGATGGCGTTTTATTTGTTAAGTAAAAATTCAGTTTTGTTCCTACCTGCTTTTTGACTGTATCGTGGCTTGGTTATTGCTGGTAACATAATAGCAAAGGGGGAAAAAAAACTAACTACGAACTATAAAGAAGAAGAAAATCGGACATGTTATTTTTATAAGTTATTTTAAATAGGGCTTTTAGAAGAAAAACATGTTAAATAGGACCTGTAGTAGGAAAAGGAAATGGTGAATAGTGTCGTTAGATGAAGAACTACGGAAGGAATTATGAATTTTACCATATGACGAAGGAGAAATTGTTGGGAGTAGACATAGAAGAGGAAGAAGAAATCTAAAATTGTAACTGAAGAGATAAAAATTAAAATATTGTCTGTAGATGAAAATGATGAGGAAGACAATTTTTAAATCATACTTTGAAAAGAGAAAATTCCAAACAGTCCAAAGTAGAAGGAGAAGGAGAAGAAGAAGAGGGAAGAAGAAGAAGAAATTAAAATCCTCTCCTGAAAAGAGGAAGTTGCAGACAGTGCTCACAAAGAAAATTAAATCCTCAGTTGAGAAGTGAAAATTGCAAACACTGTGTATAGAATGATGATGATGATGATGATAATAATAATAATAATAATAATAATAATAATAATAATAATCTTGTATCAGGTTGTACGGTGTTGGCACCCACTGAATATAAAACCCGACATGACAGAGGGCCAATATCTGCACTGGAAAATCTGCAACTTCTACGGAAGGAAACTGAAAGAAACTGGTATGAACACCACCCAGACCCGGTTACGGAGATAGGACCTGTTACAATTCTATTGGACTACACAATACACACTGACAGAACAATCAAGGCCAACCGGCCAGATATTGTTATTAAAGACCACAAACAAAAACGATGCCTCCTTATTGATATGGCAGCCCTTGCTGACTGCAAAGGTATCTTTGAAGATATTCAAAAAAAGTTGTCAAAGTACAAGGACCTTGAAATAGAAATCTCGCAAATGTGGCATGGGAACATCAACAATCCCTGTTGTAGTTGGAGCTCTAGGACTGGTTGGAAAAGATTGCAATGTAGACTAATTGAAGGGATTCCTGGAAGTCCATGCCTCAGGAGATACAAAAAATTGTTCTGAAAAGTACAGCCCCACACCTTACGAAGGGCTTTATCTATGTAATTTAATTGTTTTTTTTTGTCAGTGGAAAGTGTCATGACGCCATTTCTAACCTTAGGTCTAGGCGGGACCCGGAAAGAAATGTGCAAACGCCAGAAATCAAAGAAAATAAAAATGATAATAATAATAATAATAATAATAAGAAGAAGAAGAAGAAGAAGAAGAAAGTTAAATCCTACCTTGAGTAGGGAAAGTCGCAAAGAATTCTTGTAGAAGAAAAATGAAGAAATTTAAAACAGTTGATATCCTTAGCATCCTTCTGTAGAACCATACCTCTACCGCCTCGAGTCTCTTCTTCGTCCTTGAAGAGACCGTCCAATATTCACTGCCGTAAAGGTGGAGAGATGTCACGTTGCAGCTCAGTACTCTTTTTTTCGTTACCAAAGAAATCCTCCTGTCTCGTAATACTCTGCCTAGCATATTGGAATGAGTCACTGGCCATCCCAGTACGTCTTCGGATCTTAGCGTTGCACTTGCCGTCCTCTGTCAAAACACTTCCCAGATATTTCAATTTCCGAACCTGTTTGATTTTATCCTCGTCCTCTCCACCCCGACCTGTAAATCGCATTTTGTAAGCGTCCATTTTGTTTCTATTTTCTCTTACACATCGGCGTTGCTCACATGCTCGGTCCACGATATTTTTAGAATCGTTCTGTAGAACCGGGTTTCCTTTGCTTCATGTCTGTTCTTCATCAGTCAGGTTGTCCAGCATTCTCTACCATATGATGGGGGGGTGGCTGATATTACATAATACTTCAGTACTCTTTTCTTTGTTTCTGAAAACTCGTGCTCGCTATTCAATAGATTGGTAAAGTCTCACCATTTTACAGTTGAAATGGCTAGATCTAAACGTAAGTTCTCCTCTCTCAATTTTACTCTTTTGAATAGATTACTAACAGCGAAAATTTGTAATGGAATATTTCAAAATAATGTTCGTCGTGCTCTTCCGGGCCGAGTAACTTTATATGGTGTAGAGTATGCCATCCTCTCGTCTCAGTTTCCGCATCCTTGCTTTAGATATTTTTTTCTCTAGAATCTATCTTACATATTTCTACGTCTGCCATTCTGCTATGTTTTGAATAGCGCTTACACGGCAGATTTAGTGATCCTGATATATATTTAGAGATATTCTCAGTAAAATCCAAAGAGAAATCAGCAATTTTATTACGCCTGGTCTGGCATCTCGGATTTAGATATTTTCCACCACCGTAAAATTGCTTCCCTGTGCCTTTTCTGTAAATACTTTCATGGTAATCGTTCTGATGAATTCTACTCTAAGGTACCTAGACTTTATGAATGTAAGTGCAGTACTAGATTGGCAGTATTATCGCATCATTTTGCAGTTTATTGGCTGGATGTAACCGTAAGTTCTATGCTAACAGTTTCTTTTCTCGCACTTCTCGCTAGTGGAACTCTTTCCTGGTTTCTTGCTTCCCAGTCAAAATTTGATCTTCAAAAATTTCAATGCAATGCCAATCGTTATCTTCTACCTTCTTAATTCATGCTCTTTTATTGTTCTCTCTCCTTAATATTGTTTTTCTCTCATATTCTTTAAGACTCAGGAACTCCTTGCGTCTTAGTGACTTTATTGCCTTTCTTGGTGCGAATCGATTAAAAAAGATGATATCGTCGTGTAATAATACCATTCAACATCATTCAATACTAAGAGTTGTTGATGTAGATCTGATGTTAAAAGAATCTCTAAATATATAGCAGGATCGCCGCAGATGTTGCCAAAGGGTTGATGAAAATCTCTAAAACAGGGCAAAATAAAATAAAAGTAGACAAATGATGCTGAGGCGATGAATGCAACTAGTATAGAAATATTAGAAAAGATAAATGACATCCTTACAGAGAATGGCAAAGGTCAATGCAAATGATACCGCTGACCAAAATTTTTGGTAAATGTTAGAAACTGTATCCAAGTGCATCAAGACGTCACAGACATGCGCACTTATGTCCATTGGAAGATGTGGATAGACCATTATATTTTATTTAGTCATTCTTTCCATCACCACTACTAATGAAATACGTAATACCATGATCAAGAAATAACTATGTGTCATTCAAGCTAGACGCTTTCTTGTTGGTCTTGAGGAGAAGCCCTGTCGTCCTCCTGTGACTGTTGGTTACGCTTCCTTTTGTGTAAATGTTGTTTTGTCTACAAGAGGAACACAGACGCCATAAATTGGCTGCTAACAGAAGAGGAAGTAAATAAAAGAAACAAAATAATGAATTAGTCATCTAGTATTGATTAAAATGTAAACAATGCGGGGTTATGTTTTGGATAATGTCTTGGGCGCAACATCTGATGTCGACTGATTCGCACCCTTTCAATATGCCAAACCAGGGTAGGTAGATATGGAGGCGAGAACTCTGAAATGGTCCAACGGAAAGTAAGAATCGATACACATAGTTCGAGGGTAGCCACAGATGTTGCCAAAGAGTTGCTGAAAAACTCTAAAACAGTGCAAAATAAAATAAAAGTAGACAAATGATGCTGAGGCGATGAATGCAACTCGTATAGAAATATTAGAAAAGATAAATGACATCCTTACAGAGAATGGAAAAAGTTCAATGCAAATGATATCGCTGACCAAAAGTTTTGGTCAATGTTAGAAATTGTATCCAAGCGCATCAAGACGTCACAGAAATGCGCACTTATGTCCATATGCACCAGGTGAGTCATTATGAACACCGGCTCCGTAAATCATAGTAAAAGTGTTGTGAATTATGTGTGTTTGAAAGGGGAAAAACGTCCCTGACTAGTGCCTAAATCAATGCAATGCTTCCCACCCAAATAAACCAATTCCTGGTTTCTTATGGAATGCATACCGCATTGAGTTTAGCACGTTCCGCCAAGATAGATCGTGTCTGACACGTCATGAGGCACTTGTTCCACAAATTTTGGCATGTCAGTGTATATTTATAAAATTCCTTCCAACGGGTATTGTTATAGCTCTTTAATTTTTTGGTTGATTGATTTGTTTTAGGGCTTATCAACATTTTACAGTTTATTTAAGACCAGATAATATTATTAGATTGCAAGAAATGTTTTTTGTGGGGTGCTGAATAATAATGATTTAATATTACAAGTCTTATTAATTAACCTGTAGATTGGGGGATCCATACTTTTGCAAAGAGTATTTTCGCTAAAGTGTAAATAACGAACCCAACCGGAATTAGAGATCAGTTCTCCGATTAACAATTACCACCCATATATTCAAACTTACAGCACCTGGTATTACCAAGCGGTTACCCATCGAGCTATTGGTCAGGTTCGACGTTGCTTAACTTCGGTGATCGTACGGGATTTGTTGTTTCAGCGTGAGTTGACCATAAGCCTTTAATATTAGGATTTAATCCAGATTAATTATTTTAAATTATATAACTTTTGATTAGCTACAGAAAATAGGTTAAAATTTCTTCCTCGGGCTGTGGGAAAAGCTAAGCTACATTATTGTATGGGGTCTATAAACGTTGATGCACAGACCAGCATCGTAAGTATGCCAACGCTCTGGCGAACAACCTCACGGACGTGACAACTTCGTCTGCTCGGCTGCCAGCGTCGATGTCATTTGACTCAAGCCATTCATGCAGTCATAACCCCAGCCTTCCTCACAATTATATCAGCCATTATAACCATTTTGAAAGTGCAACGGTGCAGCTGATTGCATCATTTAAAATTATGAAATATGTTTGTGTGTTTTTGTTTCGGATTTATCGCATTTAGGAAATCAAGTGAAATGTCGAAGGGCATGAAGGATCTTTTTCTTTTATGTACCATTTACATTCAGCATCTTTGTGGTCACGGCCCTCCACAACATCCTATATTTTATTGCCTGGAGTAGGTTTTATAACGTTCCCATCATTTTGTCGCTGTACTACCACCAATTCACACTGACATTAGGAACATTTGTCGCTGTTTGTGTATTGCTCCTTTTTTTTAATCAATTTACCCCAAGCATGGCAATAAAGCCACTGAGACGCAAAGTGGGGTTACTGAGTGTTAGAAGACGAGAAAAATTCTATTAAGGAGCTAAGACAATAAAAGAACAGGTATTAAGAAGACAGATGATAATGATTGACAGTGTACTTCAATTCTTGAAGATCACGTTTGATTGGAAAGCAAGCAGCCGGAAGAAAGTTCAAGCGAGATATGTAATAGAAGAAACTGTTAGCATAGAACTTACGGTGAGATCTAGCCATTTCAAATATAAAATGGTGAGACTTTGCCAATCTAGTAGTGCCCTTCAATTTGTAAATCCTGCGTACCATAGAGGAACTTTATCAGAAAAATTAACAGTGGTGAAGCCGAGATGCCGGGTGAAGACCAATGATATTGCAGATTAATCATTAAGTCCTTGCTTTTGATCTATCCTGTGAATGTCAAATATCCAGACTATTTTTATGATTAACACTCATAATTTTCTTCTATTTCTTCTTTGTATCAGTTTCCTTGTGCTTCATATTATTCATAAATCTTCCTTATTGATCTCATCTTCTGTCTATGGTATCCTCAACCTTATTCTGTAAAACCACATTTCTGTCACTTCCACTATATTCTTCATCTCCGGGGATTCTAAATAAAATTCACTGCCATATAGATATACCGATATTACATAACAGTTTAGATTACTTGTCTCTGTTTCTAACTAAAATTTCCTGTTTCTTAATACTATGCTTATCTTTTGAAAAGCATCTTAAGCTATTACGGAGTCTTTTAATCTCTCCGTTTCGGACACGTTCCATCCATAATACTTTCAGTAGTTTTGCATAGAAAGATAACTGCGTACCGCTGTTTCGTGGAACCGACTTACAAGAAGATACTTGCCGATCAATACAATCTTTACCTGTTGACTTTTATCTTCGCCACATATCAGCCTAAACTGTAACTCTTTAACTCTCTATCTTGAGTGGATCTTGGGTGCTCATCATTGTTTCGAACGCTTCAAGTATCTTCTTCATCTGAAAGGGAGACTGAACTGCATTCACGTCGATAGCCGGCGACTACTCATTTATGAACATAGCCCTTTTTCCAAGGTAGTTTCCGAGACCCTATTTGCAGACGCCTGGTCAACTTACAGGAGCCACCTGTGTTCCATACTGAAAATATGTTGAGCAGACGATAGCTGCAGTTTCTGGGACTGAGTATATTAGCATGTCCCTTGACTGCTTCAATCATTGGGAGAGAATATTTTGTTGGGGATGTATCTCAGAAATTCCGGCATTGTTATGTTCGTCCACACTTGTGTGTCTGATGTGGATGAAAGCGACGACAGCAACGTAAGTTTCGGTAACTTACGTTGCTGTCGTCGCTTTCATCCACCTTCAACAATAAGGGTCTAGTAAAAGCTGTTATGCCGTGGGATGTGGCCAAAACATGACTAGTGGCTAGGAGAGATTCCTGTCGACCTACTAGACATTTGATCTTGCTCCGTACATTGTCATTGGTTTTATACTCCAATTAGGAGTTGCTGAGGAGCTTTATCACGCATTTGTCCTCGAAAGTCTAGGCCTTTTTCCTGTCTCTTCCAGGAGTATCCAGGTCTCACACACATGGAGGAGGATCTATCATCTGTATCATCTGGGGGAATCAAAGCTTTAAACAAGGCCAGTTCGTCCAAACTCTTCGCACAGCCATTAACGGCTTACGAACTGTTTTGATTACCCAATTTCACTCACAAGGCCTGGGTCAACTCGTGGTACAGTTTTCAGGCACTTTCCAAAGTTGTCGTATACCTGGAAATCACCTCAAATCAACCCGGGTCTCATGGTCAGCTTACAATGGTTGTAACCATTAACTCATCATTTTCATATTAAAAGCATACTAAATATTACGTAGCGGTCTCATATTAATTTATTTGCGTCTAAGCACACCCCTTACATGGTTCAGTTTCTGAAAGGCCCTTAATTATGTTTTTTCCTATTTTTCAATTAATAGAAGGCTCAAGAGCCAATCAAGTTAGAGCATTAATGAAAAAGGTTGTTGTCAGAGCGTAAATGAAGGAAGAAGCGCATATTATGATGACAGGTAGGATAGACAACGTTTAACACTAGATTTGGAAAGATCAAAATTGTTTACGTGGAAACATTCTGTTGCGAGTAGGTTGCTCAAACTAATAGTTGTGAGAAAGAAGTTCTCTGAACTTCCTCCTTACCAATGAAATACATCAGATCCTGCGAACGTTGCATGGCGATTTCTAGATGGGAAGGTCTGAACTGGTGGAATTAAGATAGTCTGCACATTTAGTATGAAAATAGTGACATGGTGACGAAAGGGTAGCAACAGTTTATCTGTGGGATAGGAATTGTAGAGTGGAAAATAATTCATTAACCTCAAGGCCGCGGAGACTTTTTTGAGGTCAGTCTTGACAGGAAAGAGCGGACTGGTCTGCTGCAAAACAACATTTTTTTTGTTTTTGTTTGAGCTGGTTCTTGAAAAGATAACGGATTACAAGATGAGCAGGATACTTTTTGTAGTCGTACTAGGAAGCAACCTGAGACGTCTCCCAAGTAGTCCTGTCTACCCAATTTCCCGCACAAGGCCGATAGCATCAAGGAGTCATCTATCGTAATAAGTTGACCAAGGTGAGATTCGAACCGGAATTTCATATTCATAAAGCGAACGATCTGACAACGCGGCCAATTTGCTGAAAAAATGTTTTAAGAGAAAGATTTTACAAAATTCAAACGAAAATATCTCTGACTGCTCGGTCATTGAATTTCTGATGTTTCCTTAGATTGAAACGGCTAATATTACGATTATAATACCAAACAAAAACTTTCAGTATGAGAAAAACAGATTAATATAGAGTGTAAGAGAGATGTGTTTCCTTTTTTTACAGAGAGTTAAATGACTTAATTAGATGCAAACACAGTAAAGTATTGGTTAAATAAATTCATGTTTCCCCAAAACTGATAATCTCTAGATTGGTTCTGATGATAAAAAAAAAGCAAAAAAAAAAAAGCAAGATATTTCAGAAATCCTTCAAGGGCTGCACTGGTTTGGCTTGCTCTAGTGTGACTCTGGATACAAAATCTATTTTGGATTTAACGACTACTCATAGACCAAAGATTCGTTATTAACCTTAAATCCGAATGTGACCATTTCGTATTTCCTGACGTGAGTCATATACAAAAGGAAAAAAAAAACGTTATCGACGATTAAATTCCTCGTTTAACTAATATGTTTTTGTGTCCACAGTATCAACACTGTTTTCGATAGAGTTATTCTCTGAATAAAACACGACGCTGTAATTACCATAGCAATTATTGTTACCTCTGCTGAGAATAACACTTCGAAAACTGATGGCAAAATTCCCGTAATGGCAATAATTACTGCGGAGGATGTGTCTTTCTCCTGCGTTCGATGTTTGGATTAAAGTTTGTGGCTAATTAAAATAAATTAACTAAATTAATTTGTTTGAACTGTTTATTTTCCTGAAATAAACAAAGACTTGACGATCGTTGAATATTTTATTTGAAGTTAATTTTACTCCAGGCTTTTGAAGATAATTTAAATAACGCCATAACTTAATTAGGTCTTTATTTTAAAATTGTTAAGTTTCTTTTTTTTTTAATTTAAAAATTTCAAAAGTGTAGGACAATCAGAATTCCCATAAGAGACAAAATATTTTATAGAGCAAAGAAATTAAATTAAAACCGAAAAAAAGGACTTCAATCTGAAATATTTCAAATGATTATTATCTTCAAACACGCCATTTCAAAGAGAAACACTGGAAGATGCTATGTTCAGCAAGCTTGTTACCAATAATCACGGATCAAGGAAGATATGTTTTTTTTGTTTTGTTTTTTTCGCAATTGCTATAAAAGTTATATTCAGTGGATAAAGGCGTTTGAGTAGACATCACCGTTTTCTAAACGTGTTCGAAACCTGACGAAGTTCAGTTGTCTTTATTAAAACGCAGGAAAGGCTAGGCCGGTAGACATTATTTATACGGCTTAACACACGGATATGTTTACACAAACGAGTGTATCAAATAAAATAACTTTTATCTATCTATCTATCTATCTACACACACACACACACACACACACACACATATATATATATATATATATATATATATATATATATCTTAAAAAGTTATCTTATTTGATATACTCGTTTGTGTAAACATATCCGTGTGTTTTTGTAGTGATTTTATAACATTTTATGTTATAATTTTCGAATAAATGATTATCTATCTATCTATCTATCTATCTATCTATCTATCTATCTATCTATCTATCTATATATATATATATATATATATATATATATTAAAAGTTATTTTATTTGATATACTCGTTTGTGTAAACATATC